CCAGGCAATAATAATAGTTAGAATTAAATGAGTTACACTTCAAGTGGTTTTCAAGGAAATTTGATATTTTAGATATGTGAAAAGTAAAAATAAACTGGAATCATCATAAGTACAGTTTATGAATTTTGATGAAAGCATGTCAAAATTTCTATGGCATTTATACATTTCAATGGATAGGGGCTCCAGTGACAAATTCAAAATATAAACTAAGAGTTGTCCTATTAGACTAATAAATTAATATTGCCCTAATAAAATAACATATAATAAGTGCCTATCTGACATCTCACTTTACAAATTATTACACAAAATAATTTGATAATATGAAATTTGAGACTATAACATTTGGAAACTATGGTTAGCTAAATACAGACACTAACCAAATATATAGTTAAGGACAGCATCATTGAAGATATAAAAGATTATTACATTTCTAAGACATATTCTGGATCAACTAATTTAAGATTACAGAAAGCAATTTTATTTTCCCAAATCAATTCCAAAAATCTTTATGCAAAATATCAGGAGATATATGTGATCACTTAAAGACAGGAATGGCCAGGTGTGGTGGCCCACATGTAATTCCCACACTTTGGGAGGCCGAGGTGGGTGGACCACCTGAGGTTGGGAGTTCAACACCAGCCTGACCAACATGGAGAAATGCCATCTCTACTAAAAATGCAAAATTAGCTGGATGTGGTGGCCAGCGCCTGTAATCCCAGGTACTCCAGAAGCTGAGGGAGGAGAATCACTTGAACCTGGGAGGGGGAGGCTGTGGAGAGCTGAAGGTTGTGGAGAGCCGAGATGGTGCCATTGTATTACAGCCTGGGCAACAAAAGCAAAACTCAGGGATAAATTCTGAGAAATGCATTGTGAGGCGATTTCCTCTTTGTGTGAACATCGTAGACTGTGCTTAGACAAACTTAGATGGTATAGCCTATTCCTCCTAGGCTACAAACCTGTACAGCATGTCACTGTACTGAATACTGTAAGCAGCTGTTACACAATGGTAAGCATCAGTATTTGTGTATCTAAACATCTAAACCTAGAAACAGTACAATAAAAAGGAGGTATTATAGTTTTATGGGACCAGTGTTATATAGGCAGTCCATCGTTGACTGAAAGTCATTATGACACATCTGACTGTACCTGAAACATGCAAAAATAAGACAGGTAAAGAGAGACTGTCAAAAATGCATGGCAGCTTGGCAGGGCACCCAGAAGGAAGTCTGGGATGATCCAACCAAAGAAGGAAACTTGACCTAAACAAAAATTGGCTAAAACCCAAAAGGCAATGAGGGTTTTAATTGTTTTAGGACTTTTTGATAAAGAGCTTTAGAGTTGAAGAAGGCATTCTCTAGGATGAAGGAAAGCCAGTGTCTTCGGATTTTAAATCTTATGGAAAATAAAAACATCTCTTTCTGGTGATGTAACAAATGGCCAGATGTCACCGAACTGAAGTTTTCAGCATTTTTAAACACAGAAATTTTCCTTCAGGTGTGTATTCTTTATTTCTTTATACAAAAGTACTAAAGATAATATCATAGAACTTCAAAACAGACACATTTAAGGATGCTAATCAAATTAGTGTCACTGGAGAAAAACGAGTTAGTTTTATTACTTTTTGTGGCATTTAGTCATATTGCAATTTATAGTATCTAAATGTTTCCTTCTGGTTCTATGTCTCCCTAGCTAGACTGTAAGTTTCTGGAAAGCAGGCCTCCTCCCTGTACCTAAAGTAGTCCCGTGGATTCTACCACCTACATGTCTATTATAGTCATCTTCTTTCTAGCCCCATCAGCACTGTCCTCCTTTATCTCCTCTATAATGATTGCCAACAGCCTTTTTATTGGTCTCCAAAATCTTACAATATAGCTAGGGAGACATGGAAAACCAAATGGAAATATTTAAATATAAAAATAAAAATATAAAAATATAAAATGTTATACAAACATAAAAATATAATATATAAAAACTGCTATTTTTCCCTTGAATACTGACATTTTCTTTATAGCTCTCCACCCATCTCTACCTATATTTTGACTTTGAATTATAATTATTACACTGCACACACACACGGCCAACACAGAGGGCTGGAGGGGCCAATCTTGCATGAAAATGCATGGTCTTAAGTTTTGTTTTGTTTTCTGAAATTACAGTGGACTACATGGAAGCTACAACAAAATGCAAAGTTTTAAGGTCTCCTGCGTGATTTATGTAGACGCACCAAGCTTTACACATGCCTAACGAAGTGTGAAAAAGTCTGATCACAAAGTGTGATGTTGCAGTGGGAAGAGAAGGAAACCTTCAGGTAAGCTAGAGAATTGGGGCAGGGGGTGGTGGTGACTATTTTCTTTTAGAGAAGCAGGGAGATTTTAGAGAAAAGAAGGAAAGCAGGGAGCAGCTGTTTAGGCCACAGTCCCCTGTCAGGACTGCAGGGATCTAAGTGTGAGCAGTGGGCTTAATCCAGAGATGAGCAGAGAAAAGGTGCTGAGTGGTCCAAATCACAGGCCAGGAAAAAGAGGCTAAAGGAAAACAGAAATAAAATTCTTGTTTCGGGGTGGGGAGCACAGAAAAAGGGCTAGAAATGGTGATGGGATTATCTGACTTTTGTATACTTGAAGGCTGGACCAGCTTGAAGAACAAGGTTAGGAAGGGATACTATTAAAGATAAAAGAATTACTTACAATGGGGCTTCTGAAACTTTAATGCACAGATGAATCATATGGAGATATTGTTAAAATGCAGATTCTAATTCGGAAAGGCTGGGGTAGAGCCCAAGAACCTGCATTTCTAACAAGCTTCTAGGTGAAGCTTTGCAGCTTTGAGTGGCAAGGATTTGCAATATTAAACATGAACACTTAAAACATTTTTAGCTGGGTGCGGTGGCTCACACCTATAATGCCAGCACTTTGGGAGGCCAAGTGGGTGGATTACGAGGACAAGAGATCAAGACCATCCTGGTCAACATGGTGAAACCCCGTCTCTACTAAAAATACAAAAATTAGCTGGGCATGATGGCACACGCCTGTATTCCCAGCTACTCAGGAGGCTGAGGCAGAAGAATTGCTTGAACCCAGGAGGTAGAGGTTGCGGTGAGCTGAGGTCGCGCCATTGCACTCCAGCCTGGGTAACAAGAACAAAACTCCATCTCAAAAAAAAAAAAATTTTTCATATGCTGGGAATGATGGCTCATGCCTGTAATCCCAGCACTTTGGGAGGCCGATACAGGTGGATTGCTTGAGCTCAGGAGTTTGAGACCAGCCTGGGCAACATGACAAAACACCCTCTCTATGAAAAATACAAAAATTAGCTGGGCATGGTGATATGTACCTGTAGTACCAGCTACTTGGAGCTGAGGTGGGATCGCTTGAGGTTGCAATGAGATGAGATTGTACCACTGCCCTCCAGCCTGGGCAACAAATCAAGCAAAAACCACCACCACCACCAAAAGACAAAACAAACTAAAACCATTTTTTATACAATAAATCAGCCAATAAATGTGTGCTTCCCAGTATAGATATCTTCTGTGGGGTTATCAGAGGCTTATATGTCAAACATCAAAGATAGTTACAAAATTATCCTCCCTTTTACCCTTAGTTAATGGCAATGGAGAGAGAATCTGCAGTGCTCCAGTTCACACCAATAATATGTTTGAGAGCATAATCATTGTTACATGTCTACTTTAATAACGCGATAACTACTTTTGTTATTTACAGCAACACATTTGCCCATTAATGTGTCCAAGAAAACACCCTGTAATGACAGAAATGTTCTATATCTAGATATTCAATATGATAGCCACTAACCATTGTGGCTATTGAGCACTTGAAACATGGCTTGTATACCTAAGGAGTAAACAGCCACATACAGCTAGTGGTTACTATGATCATCAATATCTGCTACTATCACCCAAAGACAACCAGATGCAATTCGCTTCAGATGGAAGCAGTCTTCCTACCAAGGCTCTAGATTTAGCAACCAATTTACAAAACAGACTGCAGATGTCCCCAGACCCTGCTCTAAAAATTGATGGTATAAGGGAACTTATGTACCTGAGGCCCACAGAAGGCAGCTGATAACAACCAAGGAATTTAATTCTTTATCTAAAAGCAGGATTCTCCTGTTATATCATTCTCCGAAGTAGTAATGACTTGAAAGTCTATCCCACCAAATATCCCACCATTGAGAAATTATGTATAACACACACACCCATGCACACAGAATTTTGAAGGATAGGATAATATGGGTTTGAGCTCCAGCCATGCCTTTACCTCTGGGACCTCTCTGATCTTGTTTGCAAGTCACTTTGTAAACTGGAGTTAATAATAATACCTACTGGCCAAGGGTGTTAGAAAGGTAAGTTCCTGAAGGGCAATGTACATTTTAAATGTAATCCTGTTGTAATCCTATACAATGGTTAATTAGTAGTCATTAAAAGAGAAGGCAATGCCATACTTAGAGCAAAATCCAAGGAACTAACCTAGAATCTTTTGTTGTACCAAATTTGTATTGCATGTGGCCTTGGATTCCTTTATGATGGGTATTTCAATCCTTCATATTTGTTGTAGTGGGATATAACTTTTAAAGAATGAGCATTCTAAAGCCATTTGGGAGAATAATGGTAAGTGCTTTATTTAGCAGTGTAGGGTCTGGTAAGCATCCTCCCTGCTAAGATTATACAGAAAATAAAGGAAATTGCACACTGCTCATTTCCCTTGTACTCATCCTAATCTTGTGGAAACTTCCTGTAAAAGGCAGTTATAGCATTAAAAGTAAACTGATTTCACACTCACCGGATACTACCAAGCCAACAATTGCAGTCCTTAGGGATAAAAGGAAAATAGCATACTTATCCTTTATACTTTGTATTAGTTTAGAAGAACATGGAAATCCTAGTGATGGAGCAGTAGACTCATGCCAGAGGCAAGGAAACTATTTAGAAACATGGTTACCACTTAGTAATTCCACTGAGAGGCAGGGCTCATTAGCCATGAGATTGGTTAAACTAAAAAAAACCAAAACATTTATTAAACAAAGTACACCACGAAAGTAGGAAGTTCCCATTGATCTATGCACACATTAACTACAGTTTTAAAATACAAAGTTTTAATTACATCTGCTAAGGAGTAATGTTAACGGTAATTTTAGAAATGGAAATGTGCACTTGTATTTTATGTACTTTTAGAACCTCACATATTGGCCTGGCTGTCTTTTGGCTTCTCAAAAATATAAATATCTGTTGAGAGCTTATAGTACAAGGCACAGTGTATGTGAAATGCTAAACTGCAATAGTATTAAATCCCAATGGGAAGCCAGAGGGGATTCCTGATTTCTACTCCACTCTGAGTCAATACAGCTTCCTTTTTATACATAGTCAAGGCCTTGGCATAGTATTTCACCCAAAAAGCATCTATTACTTAAAACCACTGCTAAAAAGGATGCCAAAAATATGAAGGGCAGCCTCTACCTTCCAGTCACTAAAATTTAACTGGGAAAACAAATATAAACTCATAAAAAATGAATCAGAAAAAAAAAAATAATTATCAATACAAGTATAAACAACAAAGGAAAAAAATTAAAGAATCTGAAAAGACCAATTCTGAATTCATAAGAAAGATGATTACTATGGCCTGAGCAACGTGAAGAAAAGAAAAGAAACTGATTTGGAGCATGGCTTGTCATCTGCCACCGTCTCAGTGAGGACAGCCTACTTTTTTTGTCCTTGTGAAGAAACCCTGGTCTGATACCTACAAGGAACTCAGAATCCACTTGTACCTTGCTTAAGTTGGATCAGATCCTATACTGGCAATTACTTGGCAGTTGTGCTCCTGTTCCTCCCTCTTTGGTCCACGGATGCTATTGATAATTAATTACCTCTAATAGGTCATTAAACGGTTGTGGCTAATTCCTAAAGCTGAGCACAATAATACAGATAGTCAGTTGTGATAACCAGCTTTTGTGACTAGCTTCCTTCCCACAGGTCCACCTAGAAAACACAACTGAGCAAATATAAGTATCTCCTTTCTTGCTGAGCCCTAATGTGGCCATGGAATTCTTCTTGACATAATAACTGAATGGAGTTGGAACTTAAGACAAAACTGTGGGCTGTATTTAGCTTCTCACATAGCTTTTCAAGTCTAGCTGGATCTACCTTTCCTAACTGAACTAGCCCTCTGGCCTTGATCAGTATCTATCTAAGCTTATGATATACCATGCACTACCCTATTCTGTGTTGCTGGAACACAGTTTTCAAGCAGGGATGTGCTGGGGGACAGGATGACAAAAATGGTTGCAAGGAAATGGGGAGTAGACAATGAAGGACTAAAAAGGGCCAAGTACCTAGCATACTTACAAAAGCACGGTTGGCCCCATTATAGACCTAGTGATCACAATTTCTGAGCTGAGGTCTGGGAATCTGCATTTTAAGTAAGTATTTGCAGTGTATTTTAAAAAAATTATTACAGAACATTTTAAATTATAAAATAGTAAACAATGTGTTCATCATTAATCTACAATCAATCTTGTTTCATCTATATCCTTACTCATGCTTCCTATGCCTCATCCCAGTGGATTATTCTGAAGCATAACATTTCATCTGTAAATATTTTAGGGTACACATTTCTGAAAGGTAAGGACTTAAAGAAAATGTAGCCATAAACCAATACTCAAAAAAGAAATCCTTGTTCTCAACAAATCTCCAGTTAATGTTCAAATTTCTCCTGTTGTCCCAAATTTAAAAATATTTGTTCAAGTCATGATCCAAATAAGGGGGTTGCCATGCCTCTTTACCTCCTGAGGTCCAGACAACCAGATAGATTAGTTGAGGCCTCTAGAGTATAGAGCAGCCAGTGATTGACAGTCAGACTAGAAGATCTCTTGGCTCTAAGCAGTAGCACCATTTCTGACTGCTTCAGCATAGAAGACTCTGAGCTCTGCCAAACCAAAGCAATCAAATAAAAAAAGTTGGTAAGATCTTTAAGAATTGGGTGAGAGAAAGGGTACAAAAGTGTCCTAGAAATGGCATGGAACCACCAAAGTCTGAATGGTTTGGAGACTATGTCTTGGACATGGAGTTGAGAGCAATCTTTAAAGCATTAATTTGGGCTATTGGTCATATCTTGCTCCCTTTATGTAAGCAACGTGTGTGGAAGTAGCCAGCACAGTGCCTGGCTCATGATGACCAAGATGGTTTTCATATCTTCTTCCAAAGACTGTACTGGCAATTTCCTTGGTACACTAGAATCTCGAACAGATGCAAATCTTCAAAAGAGAAAGGCCTTTGCAAATGACCAACTTTCCTTGTATTTACTTAGTCATAATAACTCTGACAGTTTCATTTATTGGTGGCTTACTGAGGACCAGGTCATGTGTCTAGCAACTGACAGTTATTTGTTGAATGAATGAACAAGAATACTGAATGCTTTATATTTAATCCTCAAAGCACCTGCCACTATTTTGCCATGGAGTTTCTTACTATCTCTGACAAAATAATAGTAAGAGCTAAGACTTACAGAGCTCTTACTGTGAATTCTTAATCTGTTTTAAGTAACTATGTATATTATTATCACGCTCATCAGCACAAAAGCTCTGAGTTAGGTACACTGTTATACCCATTTTATGCAGGCCCAGTTTTAGTAACTCACACAAGAACACAGATTATACCTGATGGGACTTGATTGAAACTTGAGCAGTCTAACTGGTTAACAGCAGTCCTGGAAGGAGAAGAGGCCAGTATCAACACCCTCATGTATAGCTTCTTCACAAGAATAAGCTCAAAAAGGCAGGTTTAGAGCTCATGTCTAGTATAGACCGCCATTTCTCATCACCAACATTGCCCCGTTCTTTCTCGGAGTAAGTACAATGCTGCTGATGAGGCAGGAAGCAAGTTACATAATCATACCTCAGAAAACAGTGGGATGATCTTGGGGCACACTGACTGGTTTAGCGCCTTTGTTAATTCGTCGAATATTTATTAAGCACCTGCCACGTGCAAAACACTGTTAGTGCACTACTGTGCACGCGCATTCTCAGAACAACAATCCTGCGTTTTCTAGAGGGATGGCAGAAGAGTGCTGCCTTGTTGCGAGGTTCTCTAAACTTGATTACTTCCTCGGGAATTGTTCTCTTCAATGTGGCACCAGCAGCAACCTTCATTTTTAGCTCGCACAAACCTGAGAAGGAAGAGAAAAACATTGCACTCAGGGCTAGGCTTAAATCTGGGAAGATGCATCAGGAACTTGGCAGCGCTTGGGATTCAGTCCCCTAGGCCGGTTCGTGTAAAGGCTGGCTTTCTAAGTAGAGAAGAGATAATAGAATTTGCAGAGCCACGAGTTCTGACTCCTGTGGCTGGGCTGACCTTAGGTTCCAGCCCACAACCCCAGCAGATTTCTGTGCAAAAACCTTTTGAGATGAATGCATTCATTGTCCTCTAACAATGCATTCATGACAGCTGTCTATCCAATCGGTCCGCCTCCGTTCGGAGCAGTTCCTGCCATAGAAGCATCTCCTGCGGTATAGTTATGCAACCTCACTCGCAGCGGGAGTTATTTCCTCCGTTCTGGCTGCGCCAGATTCATGTAACACGCCTACCCTGGGCTTCAATGGAAGTCGTTCTCCATTAACAATCACTCCAGCTTTCGGAGATGAATGCCCTGACAGCACACCCCTTGCGCAGTAAGAATCCAGGCAGGGAGGCAAGGTGTTAAAACTAACACACACACATTCTCATATTCATTCTCTCTCTCTCTCTCTCTCTCACACACACACACACACCCCGTGCATGCAGCTAGGGAACTGCAGAACTGCAGCAATGCAACCAGGGGGACAGCAGGAGGAGCTCTTTTTGCACAGTCCCTGCTTCTAACCCCCACTAACTAAAGATGAACTCACGCCAGTTCCATTCTTTGCTCTGCAAGGAAAACACACACACACACACACACACACACACACACACAGCAGAAGAGAGTAGTCTCCAGATTTCTCCTCTGAGCACACTGTCTTTCTAGCCTCTTCGTTCAAGCAAGCCGAGTAACGGGGAGTAACGCGCCACAACAATGCAACCTCCCAAGCAGCTCCTCTCGCAGCTCCCACCCCCGCCCCCTTTCGCGGCGTGCCAAGAGTTTGGAGGGCGCGCACGCACACCGAGCACAGTGCAGGGCGGTATCCCTCCGCCCCCCTCCCCCCCATTTCCTCGCTAAGTGGCTCGACTACGATTTGGGAAATGAAGGGAGGAGGGAACTACTTTCCTGAAACTTGCCATGCTGCACACGACTTCGAGTTGCAGTGATTCGCCCGGAGGCCGCGGCTTTTAGTCCTACCCACATATCCTCACGGCTTGAGCACCCCGCTCGGCAGCCCCACCCCGTGCCCGCTCTGGCCTCAGAGGGAAGCCGGCTGCCGGGAGAAGTCGCGAGGGACTACTTCGCCTCCTTCTCTCGCGGGCGCCCCCGGTTCGGGCAGCGGCGGCGGAAGGAGCGGGCGGCGTGAGCGCTTCCGCCGCCCCCCTCGCGGCTCCCCTCTCTCGGGCGTGAAGAGCTGGCCCGCCGAGCTGCTGGTGGGCACTGGCTGGCGGGGGACCTGCGGCCGCTCCTCTCTCTCGCCGCCTCTCGGGCTCCTGCCCCCCGATCCCGGGTCCGTCCGCTCTTCTCTGGCCGGGTGGGAGCGATCGGCTCGCCTGCCCCTCGCCTCACACGCTCCTCGCCGCCCCCTCCTCCCCCCTCAGGAGGAGTCCCGGCTGGAGCGTGTCTGGAGGAATCCGCCGCCGCGGGGCCTCTTGCCCGGCTCTGCCCGCGCCTGAGGACCGACCCAGGCGTCGCCGGGGGTTGAGGGGCAGCCGGCGGCTAGGCGGGAGATGGTGGGGTGGGCTCCGGCCGGACCGCGCCGCCGCTGCCCGGAGCCTGGGCTCGGCACCCCCCCGCCGGCCCCCACCAAGTGGAGCTCTGCTTCCTCCTCGCCGCATCCCTGAGGGAAGCGCCGCCTCTGCTCCCAGGTTCTCCGCCTGCCTGCTCCTTCCTGGCCGGACCCCGCTGCGCTCCACCCCAGTGGCCGGAGGAGCAGCTCTCCAGTCAGCCTTTGCAGCCCCCTGTCTTTTTCCCTTTCTACCGGGCCTCCTCGGATCCCTTGTTGGGCACTGAGGCGGGGGAAGAGGCTGGGGTCGCCACGGAGGAGGTTGCTGCCGCCACCCCCTTGCGGGGGTGGCCGGGGTTCCCGGCTGGGGGGGCACCGTTCTGGGTGAGGCATCCACCATGGTGAGGCCCCTGTGCCGCTGCCCCCGCGCCCCCCCGGCCGCCGCTGCCGCCTGCCCCTCGGTGCTGCTGCTGCTCCCCCGCCTGCTGTTGCTCCTCCATCTCCAGATCGGATCACGGTGAGGGAAAGATGAGCGAGGAGACGGCGACTTCTGACAACGAGTAAGCGCCTCATTGATCTCGATTGCTAATCTCCCTCCCCCAGTCCGCTCTCGGCTCTCCCCCGGAGCCCTCCGAGACTTGGGTGCCGGAAAGCTTGGGATCCTAGAGAGTTCGGTGCATCTTTTTCTGGAGATAACTGATCTCTTTAGCCATTTTTAGTGGCAGCACCCCTCTTTACCCTCATTTAGTTGCTTTCTTTTGGGGAAGGGTATTAAGTGTTGGGAAAGGATGGCAATTGTACCTCCATGAGTTGGAATAATGTGGATGGATGGAGGTGGAGTAGAAACTACCCCTTTGCCGTTAGACCCGTGTCCCGTCCCTTTTCAGTCACATACCAGTCACCATACCTTCAGTATCCATCCTGCTTCCTTTATAGCGTGTTTCACTTGGAAACTAATGTGTGGGAGCACCTCCTGCAGCAAACTGCTCTTGAATCTTAATTCGATGAGTCAGTGACTCTTAAATACCGTTTAAGCCTTCACCCTCTCCCCCTCCCCCTTTTAAACTTATGACCTATAAGATTTTTGTAAAAAAATAGAGTTAGGGAAACATTTTTAGAATTTAATAGGATTAAGGACACCTGGAGTGTGGGAGATGTTGCGCTAGTTTACCTTTATGAATACTGGACTTGTCTTCTGGAACGGAGAATTTTGAATGCTAATTTTTAACTTTCAGCTATGTGAAAACACAGCATTTACGTTGATTTAACCGAATTTACATTGCTGAATATGTTGGTGATTTCATCCGCTTCTAGAGCTTTCCGGTTTAAGTTTTTGCCTATTTGGGCTTTTCCTTGCTTTCCAAACGAAATACTTCGTCTTTTAAACGTTTAGCTTTAACCTAACAGCTGCGTGGAGAAATAATGGTTGGCAACACTTTTGTATTGAGCAGGGATTTAATTCCAAACAGAATATTAGCATCCGTTTTCTTGTAATTAAGTTCAACTTTTGTTTGTCTTTGGAGAGTTGGAAAGAGTTAAATGAGTTAGGACTTAGTCCTTTGGATGCATTCCTTTAAATACAGTGTACTAGTGAAGTCAGATCTTTTTGATAGAACTTCATCAAGTCTAGTGCCGAGTCTTGTTTAACATAAAATAGCTAGAGAAAGGCCAAGCAACGTTTCCTACCCCCTTGCTCCCTCCCCACCTCAAAACACTCGCTGCTGCTGAGCGGGTGTAGAAGGAGGTACTTTGCTGCAGTGTCAGTGCAGTGTAGAAGCAGAAGTGGCAGCCATGTTCTCTCTCTTTTTGTGAATCGCCCTCATTTGCATAGCACACTCTTCATTCATAAAAAAAATAATTAAACATCCATCACCTTGGACATCTTGAAAGGATTTCCCAAGAAAAAAAATTCGCAGTTTGTCTGCGTGTGGATTTTTGAGTTCAGAAGGTAAGAAGAATGTGAAATTTTAGGTCACATTTAAAAAAACATACGCACACACAAACAACTACCCCTGTTCTGAGACTGTTGACACAGTTATGTGGGAAATATCAGTTCGGGGAGGTGCTGGGATCACGTGATCTCCTCCATTCATAAAATACCTGGCTGTCCATTCACAGTGCAGTACAGTGTCTCCCTGCCTTTTGCAGATTAGACCTACTTTGAGGGAGATCAAGAAGTCTATCTCAGATAGTGGTTCTTTAGGAGAGAAAGTGCTAAAAATGCTGAACGGAATGACGATAACTTTTATTGATATCTTTCAAACAAATAGTTTGGATCAAAAATGTTAAGCTTTCTTTTAGAGATGGGAAAAAGATTTCTTACCAGCTTAATTTTTTTCTTAAAGTAGTGAATATCTCGTTTCCTTGTTGCAGCTAATAAAACAGATGATGGAATGGAATGTGAATTAACACAAGCAAAATATATTTTTTCTAAATGGCCATTTTAAAAATACTTGCCATAAATAAATTGACAAAGCAGGTTTTTTGTATAGTGATAGTGCATTCTACTGCTGTTACAATAAATGAGAAAATACTCTCAGTGATTTAATACCCAAGATGTTGATATTTGAAATACCAAATCGCAATCTTCAGTGGGAGGATTGCTTTAAACATTTTTCTTTTTAAAATCCAGATATACTTAGTATGGGACAGCTTGGAAATTATCTCACTCATCCAGACTTTTTAAATCGGTTTTTCACAGAAATGTATCCTGCTTTATTAATTAATGCATTATTCCCTAGGAGCTTTGTAATCCTATTAGTTTGGGTAGGGCAATACTAATAAGCATAATATTTTGGTTAAGTCTTCATAGGATCAAAATCTTGGGGGTTTCACTTTAAAAAAACTCTTTTATATTGGAAAATACTGTGTTCTTCTGATAATCAGTTTTACTAGAGCCAGCACTGTTTGCTTGTGCATTAAATAAACTACACAGAGTGAACTTATTTGGAATGTAGTTTTTAATATGGTACTTTATTTTTCATCTTTAATAGGTGAACTAATGTTTTGAAATGGCAATTTATTATTTATAATCATATATCATGAAGAAAGATATGTATCATGGCAGAAGCCATTAAGGCCTTAGTACAGTTTAAAACTGCCCTGTAATATGGATTTTATTTGGGCCTTACATTTTTTTTCCTTTCCTTTTCTCTTTTTTTAAAGTCATTGCTCATAGGGATTTAATTACAGTAAGGACTGTTCTTAACATTTTTAGTTTCTTTTTCACCTGATTTCAACCTTCAAGAAAACTGAAAATCTTCGGTTTCTTGGGAAACCATTAACCTTTTCTAGATAGCCATTGTGGTAAAATCCAGTAAGGCCTCATTCTGAAATCCTCTAGTACATGCTCTATTATGTGAAAGTAAAGCTCTGTGTAGTGAAACGGATAATCCTAGGTTGATAGTGAGAATATATTTAATCAAGAATTAGTGGGGGATCTACTATATGTAAGGCTTTGCTTTAGTGCCAAACCAAATAAGAAAGAAATAAATTAGACTAGAATAAAGCATTTCTTAGATTGTTTCACATTTACATTTAAAAATCATACTTTTCAAAAATAGCAAATAAATGTACTCTAGAGCAAAATACTTTGTGTTGTAAATAGTAGAGGGAATAGCCACACGTATGTTTGTTTTGTAGGTAATTTGTATAGATTGTTTAACATTCCAGTCAAATGTTTGTGATAGATACAACCGGACCATATTTTACATTGAATTAACCTTCTAAATAAAATTTTAAACATTTAAAAGCATATTACATAATACTAAACAGTCTTTGTCCTTCGATATTGAGTGTGTTTAACACTACATGTCCTTTTGTTAATTTGGCCAAAACATTTGGAGAAGTGAAGTAGCTAAAATGTGAGCATTTGGCTTATTAGGCTCACATTAGCCAGAAACACTTGCTGTGTCAGTATTGGGCTTTCTAATAGCAAGTTGGGATTATATTAGATTTTGGAATTAGGTTAGAATTAGACCACTTATGATAAACTTGTTAAGATGTAATCTGAGTTTGAACTATGGTTCATAAATAGGAAGTAAATTTTGTGGTTATATTATTTAGTGCCCAGTGGTGAGTTAAGTTTGATGATACATGTAAATAAACATATGTTCACCCCATACGTTTTACATATGTATATTCATGTATACACACACGTAATTGGAAATTGGAAAACATTTTAGAAACAAGGGAAGCATTGGAAAGCTGTGTAATACTAAGCCACCTAATGTTTATTTATATAGATGTGGTGTATATGTAATATAAAAATTTGCTTATTATTCACTTGGCCTATGTACAAATCAGCTAAATGACTTCCTAGTTGCTTCAACTTAATTTCCCTCTGCTTTCTCACTTAAAAGTTTATGTTCATGAATTACATATTTTTAACACATTATGATACCATGCCTAGAATTCCTCTCCTTACAAAACTTTTGTAAATTCTTCATTTTTCCCCGGAAGACCATCTCTCTTACCCTCTTTCAACACTTTCCCTCTGTATTGCCTCAGTACTTCGTATATATGTATATCAGTTTTAAAATCATATAATATTGTGATTATTTACTTATTTCTATGACTGCTATTATGTAATCCCCCACTTTTGTTTGTATGCCTAGCACAGTCCTTGATGGTAAATGCTCTACAAATGTAGTTGGATTAATGGCGCCATATTACCTCATTTTTTTGTGTACTTTGAATATATGCATTTGAGATCATTAGCTGTGTTAGAAAAATAGGTCGAAAAAACGTATGGGAGAAGTAAATTATTACCTGTTTAAGAAGGCTTACCCTTTTTTTTTTTTTAAGAAAAGACTAAAATTGGCCTCATTTTTGACATGTTGTGTTTCTGCAAGTTTGAGAAATAACTTAGATCAGGCTTCAAACTATCTGTTGTCATGTTTGGATATGCTTGGCCTCTGAGTTACGTGATGTGTCTGAAGACCCGTGTTATAGCCACAAGGAGGTGGACGTTTGTGTCTGTCTTTTTTGGCATAGGAAGCTCAAAATTTAGGAATATGTATCTCCAGCTATTTATCAATTTTAAGTTCTTTAAATTGCTCTCCCTTTCCCCAATGGTTCCACATTAGTGCCAAGGGTGAGGAACTGTCTAGGGATAAAGAAGTGAAACTGATCAGGAAAGGGTAAACAGCAGTAGATTCCATGATTTCAAAATGCAGCTGTTGGTGACTGAGAGGTGCCTAAGGGGAAAGTGTAACAATCTAGCCTTTTTTGTGGAGTTGTATAACTTGAACTTGACTAGTCTTACTCAGTTTGGGAAAATGATTGGTAAACACAAGTCATCTTTTCTTCTCCATCTTTCAGTAGGAACTGGAATGGCATTAAAAATGCCAGTTTAGTAAATGCTTCACTCCATGTAAGACTCGGAGTTTATTTCAGATAAAGTACAAAATGATTTCTAAAATGAATAATAATTTATTTGTAATTCTGTTAGATAACAGGTGTTAACATTTTGGTATACATGAAAATCTTTCTTATGATGTTGGTGATGAAGCATATTCATTTATTAGATTTTTACTATGTGCCAAGCACTTTTATAAATGCTTTATCCAAGCATTATATAGTGTGTA